CACACTGACAGGGTCGTTGCAATATGCGCTTTTGCTGTCTGTTGCAGCGCTCTAGCGCTGCGCGGCAAAAACGCACAAAAATGACTAATGCAAATTTTTTGAAAAAATGCAAATTTCCAATTCATAAAAATTTGGAATTGTGAACGGCCGTTTGTCAAAAAATCCATGTTCATTTACATGTACGACTGCGGTTCAGGTCCGAGTTGCGAACGATTTTTTTGAAAAAATGCAAATTTCCAGTTCATCAAAAAGCGGTCTAAAGCTCGAGCGGTCATTTGTCTAAAAATCCATGTATGCAAATTAATTAATGTTCATTTACATATACGATTAGGGTTCGGGTCCGTTTTGCGATGGATTTCTTAACGATTTTTAGGATGAAGAGCTGCTTGAGGCTGTGGTTGGGGTGCTTGACAGCTGAGTTTAAAATCTTCAGCTCGCACGTGCATAGATTATATCCCTGCAAAATTTCAGCTTTCTAGCTTACCTGGTTCGCGAAATCGTTCCCCGCCAACATATTTTTTTGAAGGGCCCGAATGTGGGCTCTAGGCGCGTGTGAGGGAACATCTTGAAACGGAAGGATCACACGCGGGGTAGAAACATATACCCAAAGTTTCAGCCTCCCAGCTTTCCTGGTTGCTGAGATGAAAGTGGGTGACAAAATGTACTCGCTTCCGAACACACACACACAAACACCCATACACACACAGACTGCGCTATAGGCTGTAGCAGCGCTATAGCGATGCACAGCAAAAACGCATAAAAATGCGTAACAGCGAGTTCATTTACATACCACTGAATGTGCATGCTGAATCTGACAGAGTAGCGTTAGAATTACAACCCCTTGACAATATGAGTTTTTTCACTTCATCAATGCAAATAATTGGCCAACGCACGGACTGCTCATACGAAGATGCGCTTTTTTTTTTCTCATACAATAGTTTCCCACAGTTTTTGTTGCTACCGGCACCGATTTTTCTGGCAAATGCTTCTAGCTAAACAAATTAAAAGCGGCCGCCAGAACTGTCAGGAAACACCCCCTTAAGATTTCGGCTTTCTAGGTTTCCTGGCTCCCGAGTTAGCAACTTACCCGAAAAAAATTTTGGCGGGCCCGTACATAGGTACCACGCATACGGGGGGCTGGGTTTGAGCTCAGTAGTATCTACTTGGATGGGGAACGTTCCCTTAAAATTTCAGCCTTCCAGCATTTCTGGTTACCGAGTTAGCAGCTTACCCGTGAAAAACTTTGGCAGGCTCATACGTGGTTACCACGCGGGTAAGACCGCCCATTTTGGGGATTGGGGCCCGTACGTTCATGCAGGTTAAGTTCCCAAAGTCTCAGCCCTGTAGCTTTTGTAGGTCTTGAGATGAAAAATAGGCACAGACGCACAACAGACACACAGACAACCCCTTATCAATATGCGTTTTCTGCATTGCATAACTGCAAAAAACTCATAAAAAGTGGTGAGTAAATGCTAGGAAAAGGGCTTTTTCGACCAGCTGTGCTATGGAAGCTGAAAATAACTTATGAATTTACAAGCTGGTATCAAAACTCAGAATAGTTTTAAATTTTAACACAAGTAAGTTAACTCTAGAAGTTTTTGTGCGCCATGTTGCACAAAATGAATGACAAAGAAACATTTCTCAGACTCCGCCGTGCTGTTTGGGAGCTGTTTTTATGCGTTCTTTGCATCTATGCAATGCAAAACGCATATTGTCGAGGGGTTGTCTGTGTGTGTGTGTGTGTGTGTGTCTGTGTGTGCGTCTGTAACGAGTTTTCATCTCGAGATCCACACAAGCTACAAGGCTGAAAATTTGGTGACTTAATTTACACGTACGTGCGGGCTCGTATCCTGAAAATAGACGCTCAGTTCCGCGTGGTTCTCACGTAGGGGCACGTGAAAGTTTTTTTGGCGAGAAGGCGTTTTCGGGAACGGCCCATGCGAGGAGGCTGGAACTTCACATAGTTGTTCCTCGGCCGCGTCTAATCCAAAGATTTCAAATTCAGGTTTCACGCACCCTCAGGACTCACGTACGCACACGTCAAAATTTTAAATTGGCATCATGCCAACTCCAAATTTAAGGTGATCAATAAGCTACAGAGAACTGCAAC